GAATCAGTCACACTATTGTATTGGCTACTGGTTATTCATCTATGCTGAATATTTACATATATTGCATAAAACATGTTTTGTCATTGTATCCTCAAACACGTTAACATAATTACTTATGGGACACAACATATAATCTTCCATCATATGTATATAACTATCGAGGAAACAGTGTAAACCGAAGTAGACTTTACGTATCGTTGTCAGTGTCACATAAGCTACAGCAGCTGAACGTGCACTTTATACGATCGGGTGTCGCACTGAAACAGTTACGGTTACTGTGTATAATTACACAAGTTATGAACATACAGTGGTATTGATCTGGTCGAATTAAAATCCACATACACTGATATGAATCGCAAACTACGTTTAACAACATGTAGAAACAGATGGCACACGTCGGGCTTGTAGTGTGACCTCTAGAACGAGACACGCACATGTATCTATACTTAAAATCTTGACCTAGTTAACACATTAAAATTGACTCGCGAGTATGCTATCAATAACGCCGAGGAAAACACAAGTTATGATGAGTGTTTGGGGGTGTATAAACTACAATCGCTTAATACCAAACCTCGCGGAGGAGTTATCTAAAGTCATGAGCTAACACTAACGCATCTTAGTTTCTTACCACGTAAGTTAACGTGATGCAAATAAATAAGACAATTTCGTACATTTAAATGTTTAAATGTAAGGATTAGTCAGGCCATGTGTAGAGCAGTAGACACAACAGTCAGTGTGTATGTATGGGGGTCGCCAGACCGTGACAATCTGGCCCAGACCTGGCGAGGCAGGCCGCTGTCATCTAGTCAAATAAATATACCAAATTCCTGCCTCATGAGCTTGACAGTTTGGGAAACATGAAATATTTCAAACTGTCAGTTCTTGGACGACGACGGGAATTAAATCAGTGCTTGTTTGACTGTATATACAGCGTGAACTGGCCATGAATAGCAGACGAAGTTTTTGTATATTTTTAAAAGAGCATGGCCGCCATGTAGACCATCACCTGCATATACGTGTATTGCATAATACTTTACTAACACTCCGTACTTAATGTTTACCTAAACTTTTCCGTTGCTCTATATCACTGGCGGATATTGTTCTGTCGAAAAGGCAATAGGTATTTTATTGGTTTTTCGTTCTAGCACATACGTAATTTAACGATAAGAGTTTCCTGATATGAAAATATACAGGATGTTTAGGTAACGAATATTCACATGCAAGCACGTGTAGTGAAATTGTTAAGTGTTCACAGACGACAGGCCCTACGTAGCCAGAAGCAACGTTTTATCTACTGCAAACTTGCTTTCTTGCACACAGAGAGGGGCGGCCTGTGACCCACAGTAGGTCGTTAGTACTGCATATCTTTCTTGTCAGTTGCTCAACTCTGACATAATCCGCCTCACGTAACCGCCAAACAAATCGGCGAATTTGTGCAAAAGTCTGGAGCCCGGCCAAGTCGCACGGGCTTGAATCGACTTGTTCTGTTGCAAGCAAGATTATAGAAGAATCTGATATCCGTAGTAAAAGATATAAAAATAATATTTAAATATCATAACAAAATGCATGTTAGGTTTAAATAACAGTGGGACCACTAAACTACTATATGGTGAAAAGGGTCTGTCTCCATTACTTACAAGGAAGGTTCGGTTATCAAGGAACTAAACAAGCTAAAACCGTGATCGAATGGACGACTCGCTATTATTTATTCATTTTCAACTGATAGAACGAGAGTGGACATTTATGATGTCGCCTCTGCCCCTACACTATTATATATACGCGGTAGTTGCCATTTACCGTCATATGTGACAGTTTGTGTGGCGATTTTAATGACCTTAACGCTCATGTATATATCACCTTTTAGATAATGAAATTACCAATACTTAAAATAACGCCCCATTACGTTTGCTGAGCGATAACTCCTGTAATTAATCTACTACCGTGCCAAGTTTCAATTTCGAAATGCGTGACCATCTCCAAACTGAATTAAGAGTGAAGTTCCCGGTATCACCTCAGCGCCATCGATCATTTACATGTTAAGATACCTGAGTAATGGTGTTCCTCGCCAGTTTATTATGTACATGTAGCACTGTAAACTGTACTGGGGAAAGTCCAACCAAATTACATAGTATGTCATATACACTGCTAAAGTTTCACTTTTGATTCACAGAATTTTGCTTGCTTTATAAATCAGTTACAACATGTGTCGTATTCGGAACAAATCAAAAGTTGTTGTACTGTAACCCCTAGAAAAAGAACATTTACCAGAACCCTAAGGTGTCAAACAAAACCCTAAAACGTTCCACTCTACTGAGTGTATCTGTTAGGGGGCATTTGGTATGGAGTAGCCAGGTTGGGAGGTCCCATTTAACGTTCAGATCCAGTAACTCTGTGTAATGTTTTAATGGATGAAAGCACTCAATGAGTGGATGATGATGAAGAAACAATTTTACTTTAATCTTTCGTCTTTAGAATTTTACATTGATTTGCTTTCCAGACGCATCTTTCAATACATATATACATACGAGTTAAATTTAAAGACGTTTGCCCTCCGCGATACTGTAACACATTGTGAATTCGTTTTGCCTAACGGCTTACCAAATTGAACTTTGAGAATATTAGGTTACTATGTTTACACTAATTGATACGCGTGTTTATTTTAGGGGGAAGATAATTTTGATTGGACACAGGTGACCATGGATCCACCGATGAAAGTCCAGACGGAGAGTGCGTGGGAAAGTAAAGATTCCCCCAAACCAGTTTCATCAACCCCCTATCACAGCACACTGCCAATTTGTCCCACACACTAAAGTGTAAATATATCAGGTTTAAAGAAGTGCAGCAAAGGCCTAGTAGGGAGTCTGAATTATCAGTCCTAGCAGCTTAGGTCTGTATAACTTATGTAAATAAAAAAACTAACGTACATGGCAGTAGAATATCTATAATTAAATAAAATGTAAAAAAGTTAAAAATAAGATTGATAACTTAACCTTCCTGAAGGATATATATAATAAATAGTTGCGATAATGTTCTTTTAACATGTTGCCAAAGACCTGTTATACAAAAATGATATGATAATATACAGAGGAACACAATATGTAGCTTATTGGTGGAACCTTATTACATAGTCATTCATAATGGTTTTGTTTTAACGAAACAAGCATTATGCCTCTCTAGGTGTAGGAGCGATATGGCGTTTTTACTTCGTTTATGGGTTTATCTATTTACATTGTGTAACATAAGGATCTCGAAGTGTATATCGGTAACCAGGATGCACTGTTTAAAGGACATTGATTTCTTGCCAGCTGTGCTCTGGTACATAGTAGGTGAGGTAATACCGGTTGAATTATACTGTCTGAGGACATTGTGTTAAGTCACAGGGGTGTCCTCCTGGCCTGTCTGTCAGCACCACTACAGACGGCAAAGTCAACAACACACTCGTATAAAACGGGGCATTTATCAGACAGAGGAAAAAATCGTGAAATATGTTCACATCAAAAGATAGAAAGTTATGTTCTATTTTTAAGGCGAGGATTGTTGAACTTTGTAAGAATAGAAAATACAATTAAAGGTATTATACATGTCAAAATTTATTTTTACCGTTGAAATACTACTGTGTGTGTAAAATTGAAATTGATGAACAAGAAAAGTCTAAATTCTGGAAATAATATAAAAACTATCATTTAATTTTTCAAATAAGAAAAATGATTTCTGTTAGAAAAAAATGTCTTTGTGATTTTAGAACTTATTCTGAAAGACGAAATTTTAGTTGTGATGTTACTGTTTAATCAGGAATATCGTTATCTAACATGTGGAATGGGAAACATAATATAGCTGTTGTGTATACTGTTATAGACGAGTTAACATGAAACAATAGTCACTGTCTTGAAAACAAAGACTTCCTATATAGGTATATATTTCTTTTCTGTGTATAGCGTGTTAATAATTCCAAGACATTGGTGAAATTATTTATTTCAGGCATCTCAAAGCATGTTTTGATAACACAATTCTTGTAAAGTATTAAATGCCAACGATGTTTATACCCATACGTGACTTTGATTCAATTTGTATTTGCTGTATTATAAATTGGTTTTTATATATCATATAGCAAACTTATTTTGGTATATATATATGACATAAAGTCGTGTTTGTGGATATAATTAACGTGTATCACATTATGTTTTATATGTACATTTATCAATATATGACATAAAGTCGCGTTTGTGGATATATTTTAGGTTAATCACATTATGTTTTATGTGTACATTAATCAATATATGACATAAATTCGTGTATGTATATATATATATTGAATTATGTTACGTTTTGACTTATATGTGGATATATCAATTCATTATAAACTGGCACTGATATGTACATATCAATATATTAAAGTATGTCTTTTGTCCTTAGCAATATATTACATATTGTTTTGTTTATTTTTATCATGTTATTTTTTACTATATAGATTGTAGGTTGAATGAAGATATAGTAAATGTATATATAATTATAGTACGTATCAAATCTTGTCATTTTATCAGTAAATACAGAATTCTATTGTTTGGCATTAATTCTTCATATTTCTGGTTGTAACTTGCATTTTAGCTTTCTAACACACTTAATTTCACATTATCTGAAAAAGATTTACGCACAAAGAAACCGATACAATAATCTGCCATGAGTGACAACAAGACACTTAACTGTTTATTTCTTGCTAAGACATACGAGAAAGATATAAATATCTAATACAGTATAATATTTGAGGTGAAGATAACATTTAAACAGTGAATGTTACACAAAACGATGGTACAATTCGTTTCCCAGACCAGTTCCGTGTGTCCAAAAGCCAGAACCAACTATTGGACATTTTCATCTTAAGATAGGAAATTAAGTGTTTGGTATGTTTTATGAAAAAGGAAATCTTTGATTGAAGGAAAACTTCAATGAAAAGAATTTAAAGATTTAAGAGAAGGTAGATAGAGGAAGGGAGATGTACTTACTGTAACCGTTCATGGTGGGTCTTTGTGACGGAACTGGCTCTGGTTTGCGATCTAAAAGAAAACAGTAGGTGAGCATCACTCGGCTCAAGTCACGACATTGTCACCGTGTACATTCCTCGTGTACCAGTTTAATGACAACATCAAATAATCTCCCTATCCCTCCAACTTTGTAAGGGTAGAAATAATTACGCTCATTGAACAGTTTATCGGGTATGTTATTCGGGTCTAATAGGTTTAATTGGCCTGACAATAGTTTCGATAATTGTCGCCTTTGCTTTTTAATAAAATGAGACAAAAACTACAGACAGTTCAGCAGAATTAGACAAAAAAATTAATGTGAACCATATTAAATGAAATAGAGTTATGCGAGCTTTGAAGGCATTATGTAGAGAGAATCCCACCATGCTGTGCACTAGAGCGTGAACTATTGTGACTGTATTACAAAGCTGAGCATTCAAAAATCATTCACTGTTACAATGGGTCGGTTCTTATCAGGGTCGTTATAGAGCTTCATACGTTTATACGTTTGCGAAATGTTTAATCAAAAATTGTTTCAACTGTGACCGCAAGCAATATTTGTATTTTCAATTTAGAACTGATAAACTAGTTAGACAGACTTCAATAAAATACAAAATAATATAAGACGTCGTTTTTTTCTTCAACTTCCTCCTCAACTATCAATATACAAACACTTGATCTAAATGACAACTTTATTTTAGATCAAATGTTTTAATAAATACACATTTTGTGAAATTGTATAAACATAAAAAGATGACTAATGTTTTAGATACAGACCTGAACTAAACAAAACGATGGCTTTCAGACAACTGTATTCCGCTGAATCCACATGCAGGGCCTTGAGCTTTTCCACTTGTTCCTGGAATATTCTTATATGGTCCATAAAAGCCACAACCCTGTCCGCAGCCATGGGGCTGGCGTGGAGACCTGCGGCCGCTAACAAAGGGGCCACATGAAGTGGCATGGAACATTGAGCGGCATTCAAAACAAACAACTCGCTCCAACTTAGTCGCAAGAGGGCCACTTGGTCCGTAACTTGAAGATCAGGAAAAAATGGAATATTTCTTGCCCATTCTACAGCACTAAACAATAGCCTTGCTGCAAGTTCACAAATATTTTCTATGCCCATTATATTATTTGTCTGCATACATTGTCCGTATCGGGAAGTAGGGTAGGGTTCGGCCCTTAGGAGCATGGAAATAAAGCTGGACAGGTACGTATGGCCATTTAACGGGTCACCAGTGCCGAAGGCCATTTGGCCAGGGAAGGGATGCTGGGTGGGCGGTATTCGGCCTCGCTGTACGGCTGGAAAGAAAACGAAAATTATGTCATAAAATTGTTGATATCTAATTTTATATAATTATTAAATTTCCGTTTGTTTGAGTGAACATTTTGATTTAATGCTCAAAATTTAATAAAACCACATGAAAATCCTTCAAGTGGAAGACAGTGAAGGCACTGAAGAACAAAGGTGTTATTTTAAACATTAAGTTGATTTCCATAAAGGGCCAAAGTCAGAAAATAATGATCAATGTTTGCAGGTAAATAAAATTGAAAATAAGTGATAAAAATGTCCATCTCAAATAATGTTTTCGGTTTGAAAAGATGCAGGTAAGAAATGCTTTTAATCACAAACTAAAAATCCACTTTTCTATATTTTAAGGTAAAAGGGAACTGTTACTAAAATAAATATCCAGATAATTTTATGAAGAGAGATGTGTTAAAATACTTTTGGGTAAATGGGTCTGGGGTGTAATACGAAGGGTTCTGGGATCACACTACAAGGGGAAAGGGCAAAGGTCTGACACGGGAGTCATGGTGCACGACGCTGCACAAGGCTCGCAGCCAGACACCTGCGTTTACCGGGAATCAGCCCTGCTAGTAAAGGTCATGTTTATACGACATTTGACGGGATCATGGCGTAGGCGAAATATAGACAGTTGTATTACATAACCAGTATAAACTTGTGTGTGTTTATCACTATATATAACATATACACACTTTATACATTATTTTCTATTTTTATCTTTTTTATGATTTGAATTTAAAATATCCTGTAAAGTTTTTAGTTTTTAGTTATTTCATTTATGTCGAATTTCTTTTTAATATTAAACCTGTTTCGGGTTATCGACGAACTATCGGTGATGATGGTTTCTTTTTAGCTGATCGGCTTATAATTTGTCGCATGAATGAACAGAATTCATTGTAGTTAAAACGAAAGTAGCAGCAACCACAGCCTGATCATTTACCCGAACCGGAGAAAGATAATTTATCAGTGAACAAATCTTCCACGTGTTAAATGGCATGTTATTGTCAATAAAGTTATGGATGATAACGAAATTACTCCGCTTAATTATATAGATAAATGCACTAAATGTACGTAACATGACCTCCGGGGGGTGATAATAATTAGTTTAAAGCTAATTTTTAACAAATACAGAGCAAAGTATTCAATTTAGATTTGTGATTATTCGTATAGCTATTTCATGCATCAGAAATTTATTCTGAAAATGAATAATTATTTTTGTAAAGGTTTTAACCTGCACATTGATCTTGCATCTTCCCGATGGCGGAGTTATGGGGTAGGGCCAGCGGATCTGAAGAAGCCGAGGGGTAAAGAAGAGAGTTGAAACCACCAGACTGACAAGTGCGCGACCTACCTTCCCGTCTCATCCCCATTTTCAGACACTTTTTGAGACGACAGTATTGGCACTGATTTCGATGGTGCTGATCTATCGGACAAGTTCTATTTCCTCGGCACGTGTAAGTTAAATTTCTCCGCACAGACCTTTTGAAAAAACTTTTACACCCTTCACATGTAAATTGACCATAATGCTTTCCGGAGCTTTTGTCCCCACACACCACACATTCTATATGTTGTTGTTTAGCCTCTGGAGAACTGGACGTGCCATTAGGTGTCGTAGCGGTGCCATTTGGAACATTGGCAGGTTGTGTCTGGGGTGGCGGCTGTGTCGGGGTCACGGCCGTGGGTGTGACCGGTGGAGGCTGGGCGGGGGGCTGCACCGCTAAAGGTGGAGTAGTACCCAAGTCCTCCGTGGGGTCCCGTGGCCAGGAAGTCACAGTAACAGGGTTACCCTGTGATGCAGTCATCGCCATATTATTGTGGCAGAGTGTACATACACTGGTGTCTGTCTATATAGTAAGTAAGGGTCAAGTAACCAACCGGGTAAGTTCGTGGTCTAACCGATCAAGTCAACTTGCTGTCATCTGCCGTTGTGTGTCGACGACTGTCTACCACTCTCCTAGGAAGCACAACCTAACATTGTTCACGTAGATGATCATTGCTCCACGGAGCACTCCACGAGGCAACCTTTAACCATGTGTCGGATCGTAAATATAATCATATTCTAAAAGAGTCGAGATATGAAACAGCGAGAGACTTGTGCGCGGAGTAATCGCGATCTCTACCATGCGAGGAGTGGGTGGCCTAGAGTAGCACTCTGTATGTTTTGAACTCTGACACTAGTATTAAAACTGTTGAGTTTCTATGGCACTCTTCCATATAAGGAAAGCGATGTCATTTAGGTTCAAGAAGTGTATTAGTGAGTGACAATTGCTGTCGCTTGGTCATAGCCCCCAACCATCGGGGGCATAGCCGCTGCACACGGGCAGGCGATCCCATTGGCTGAGAGCGCCATTTATTATACGCCGTACGTCTGTCAATAATCAATCTCGTATTCCTGCGCACACTTGCAGCCGCTCATAATCTGCCCTGGGTCATGTATGTTTCTGGTCCAATCGGCACGAGTTTAGGAGGAGGGGAAATATCCAACCCTTACGTGTCAAGTAGGAGGGAGGTTAGTCTACATATTGAACTCGGCTTTCAGAATGAAGTGTTCACGTCTGTTCGGGGAAAATCGTCTGCTTCTCGGCGTAACGATTACCGCATAATAAATACCCTTATATAAAGAGAAATGTGGCTTTACAAACTCTGTCTCGCTTTGTTTAGGGTGGTGATACACTCTGGGTGACTGACCCACCATGGGACACGATCATTTTACAAGACTTGGTGATCGCTTTTTCTATTAAAAATAAACAGACATTATACAATGCTTTGTATACGTATATATTGTACACATAGTGTGTGACCTTAAACTGAGGTCATCCGTGTGTACTTTATTATAAGTTAGAAGTTAGACACCATCACAACCCTTGCGCAATCTTATCTGAAATACGGGCATGACCTGAGCGAACCGCGGCGAGAGGGCACGCCGCATTACATCGGGTTTGTAGGGACAAAGTTAGTCTGGCGGAGGTGTATTAAACTGTTTCAAATAAAATCTGCCCCTGGCTTGTGTAGCGGTGATACACACGTGGAGCAACCTGTCAACTGTTCTGTATACCAGTGTATATGTATAAATAGATTGTCTTTAAGATAAATAACACTGATATGCTGACATAGGTTACATTCATCACTTCCTGCTAAATACATTTGAAATGAAATCTGGTCTGTCTCGTTTTCTCGCTATTTAAAAATTGAAAATATCATATACTAAACATTATCTATTTGCTGAAAAAAACTTACAAATGATGAAAGCTGTCTAAACGAATAATGATATAAAAAGGTGATTTTTATTTAATGATGAAATCGTTATTTCTTCTGTCACTTTTCAAACAATATTCTTTTAAGAAATGACTAATGTGTCATGTATGAATAATGATATCTCCGACTTCCTCACTTTAGGACAAATACAAACTTTAATAAAAATTCACACCTTCAAATCAAGTCAAAATGTCAAGACCCCGATCCCCCTGCGGCGACCCCTGAGAAGCTATCTATACAGAATATATAGGGAGCGGGGTGTTTTGTCAGCGAGCGGGGTAACAATGATATAACCCCGATTTCGTGTTATCTGTCTGTATGCTATATAGTATTACCCTTGGTCACAGGACCTGAATAAGTTGCATGCATACACACATCTAGCGTCAACTTTTACAAGCATCATTGACAGAACACAAAACATTTTCACAATCTCAAGTAATAAAAATACACGACGTGTCAACACGGTTGGCTGGTGCTAGACAATCGCACACGGCAACCTTCCACAAAACCTATTCCCAAGTCTTGTTGCTCTTTTTATATATCATTACCATCACAAACGGCCAACACCACTGGATTTGCATGCGGCCTAAACTAACAAGAAAAAGCAACGGCATTATATCCATATCTGACACATAATTCTACAAGATATTACGCAAGTTGTATTGAGACACAAATAACATAGCCAAACGTTATTGTGAGTACTTGACAAGATTTCTGCGTGTGCCAAGGGACGCTATAAAGTAATCTGCTAGTGGCACACTGGTCCCACACCTGATCAGAATATCAGAACACATGACAGGAATTCAAATCTACATACGACATAGCTCATCTGTTGACGGGTGGTATTTACGTGAACAGAAAATAACACAGTACACGACGGATAAATCTATGTATAGGTAATAGAGGTATCGTTTCTCTATTTACAACATAACATAATAAATAACCTCATTAAGCACATTTTTTACTTTTTTAAAAAGTAAGAAAACCTAGCCAATTAAATATTTAAACATCTTTATATCATTTTGTGTAAATCAAAACTAATTATCAAAATCTAATAAGATTAAATTAAAACAACAGGACTTAGATAATAAACATGTGATTTTCCTCCATTATTTTCCCTAGGTTCAACCTTTGTTTGTCAATAAAATCCTCTATCATAACTTAAGCTTATTTGGAATTAGCGTCTGGTTGATAAGCAGGCTTTTATTAAGATGACAGCAGACCATTGGTATTGTAGTTGTGTTTAACCATGGCGTGACATTCAAATTCAAATCAACTAGCTGTAACGTAATGTGAAAAGAGCATGCTGAAAAGTATAAAAGATATTTATTGTCCTATTATAATTAATTATTTATCTATGCTAATTCATCCTGTCAATCACCGACTACACGGATGGTCGGTAATGACTTACTTTAGCAATCTGTATACACTGTCTAATACAAATCTGTTGTTGATTCTAATTTTGTCTATGACATTAACGATCAGTCATCCCCGTCTTGGTAAATACTTCATGCAAAAAGCTAAACATGTTCGCTACGTGATATCATTTAAAATCAGTAAATAGTCAGCTATCTTAAACATAAGGTATGTCTTGGGTTTTTTTTGCATATTTTCAAATCCTTTAAAAGAATGTCAGGTTAGATATTGTTCACTTCATTTCCATCTAGATGCCCTCTTAAATACAACTAGAGAGTAACAGTATAAAATGTATGACTAGGGAGGTGACAAGAAGTTATATACAGTCCAAGTATTGATTAGTTTAATGTCTGAGTTACTTAAATATGGAGGTTGTACTGAGTTTAATGACCAAGTACCTAAATACAGATTTTTTTAGGTTTAATGCCTTATTGATTTACTATAGATGTTTCACTGAGTTTAATGACTAAGTCAGTTTATATAGAGTTTACTACTGTCCTTGACTAAATAAGTTGAAAGTCGTTTGAGGTAAGGACTAAGTAAGTGAAGATGGAGGTTAGTGTTTTTACTTTGTATGGTTGCTATTCATATAAGAAAAATAACCTGAATTTCGAACAAATAACTTTGAAAGTCTGTTACATCAATGGAAAGATTTTTAAGAAATTATTTTTTATGAGTAAGCTAGAAAAATATTGATAAATTATCTAAACAATTGATTTGAAATCTACTTTATAAAACATAAATAAGAGGGATAGTTTGTATATTAAACAAATGCATGATTAACAATATATATATTTCTCCAATATTACTATTAAAAAATATAAAATGCTATTTGTAAGCTACTATATTATAACTGTTATTATCCGGTGCCAACTACATAAGAGATTGTGTGTTATACATGTAACCTATTTTCTATAATGTATGAATGTGTCAAGTACTCAACCGACTTCTTCAGCAAATCATTACGACTTATTCAATTAATTTGCATAGCAATTAATGACAGCTAGTACTAACCCAAGTCATCAATCATTGGGTTTAACACGCTACTTAAATGGTAAAATTGTATTCTAATTCAATTATCCCCATAGTGAACGCAATTATACAAAACACCTAGAAATATCTACTGTACACTGGAGGCGATTGGATGTTTCCGTTAAACAACACAGTGCCGGTCTGGAGTACAATAGCACGATCACACTAATGATAAAAACACAGTGTCGGTCTGGAGTACAATAGCACGATCACACTAATGACAACACCTATAATAAAACAACTACTACTGTTAATTTACTCTTTCACTAAAACACAAATTGGGCCTATAAAAACACTATATATGTTCCACACGCTTGGTTTAAATTCTTCTTAAATTATGTTAGCTAAGTGAATGCATCTATTACGAGAACAAGTAGACCGGGGACTCCATAGCTAATCACACACTTTGTCCTAATCCTAATAGACAATAATCCTAATCCCGCAAAGGGTTGTTATCAATAGCAAGTACAACGTTACATTGGGATATGAATTTTAGTAATAAAACATTTATATATATAAAGCTATCTGTATTATTTGAAATAAATGCTGTGTTTTTTTTTTTATGAAATTATAGATAGAATAGTACATAGTTCATAACAAGGAGATGTTGTGTTTCAGTATTGAAGACAAATATTCCTTCTGTTTGGTATTGAAGAAATTCTTATTCTTATTTTGTTCGAACTATCAATGTTATCTGATTGATAAACATACTTTTGAATATGTTACCTTTCTGAGATAACAATATTTTCAGACGGAGTATTTTAGTGATTGTGATATGACGTTATGCATAGCTGAAGGAAAGGAAATGTATCTCAGACAGAAAGCATGCTTGTAAAGTGACGGCTAATTTTTCACATACTAACTTCTCACAAAACGTGTCAAGAATCAAGCGTGATCAATATCATAACTGATATATAAACACGCCCAGTGGTCAGTTACAGACAGAATCAATTCACTGGACACTTGGAGGCCAGTGGTCAGAAGAGGTCCAACTGCTTCATAACACACAACTCGAGAACTGACCAGTAGGAAACTTATCAATTACTTCAATTGCGCCAGCTTTCCGGTAGCGACGATTGTGTGTAGTATAGTTAATGAAGTCGATTGGTTTAAGCTGACCATTGGCCAGGCTGATTATCACACCGCCTTGGTCATTACGAGGGGATGTTTGCGTGTAATTACCGCAAAAGGGGTTGTCGACTGGCCATCGATATTTCAATAGGGTTCTCCCGGGGACCATAACCCTCACTTGGCCAAAGGCACGGTAGAAAGTGTGCACTTTGAATTCAATCTGCTAGCTTATTAAACAATGCTTTTGTGTAGCTCGTATACGGTGATAGTGTTTAATTGAGCGAGAATAGCTACTGTAACGAATGCTAAAACCGACGTGATTTATATCCAATATACAAAAAAGTATGTTGTAAGGGAATTAAAAACAG